ACACGGGGGCCGCTCGGGCGTACATGGCCTGGCACAGGCCGCGACGGGTCGCGGCGACGGGTGGGACAAATGTGAACGACCGATATGTTGGAAGCAGTACGTGATGTTTAGGGCGAAGAGAGTGCAACTTCTTAGGGTCAAGACATGTCCGATCGAATCTGATGGGGTTCTTGAAATTCCCGGTCGAGATGAGACCGGGGGGGGCGCCCAGATCCAAGGGTTTGGGGGTCGGGATGGACGAACTCGTCCAGCCGTGAAACGGCGGCCGAGGAGGGGGACATCATCGGTGAGGTGCCTCGACTCCTCGACCGGGAGGATGTGAAAGATCAGCCGGTCTAATGAGAGTTTGGATCTGTTGCAGTTCTATGACCCTGTGGGGGGTTGGTCAAGACTCTGACTTGGAGTGTCAAACCTGGGAAAGAGAACAGAGTGATCTAAAAGGAGTGCAATTCTACTAGTTAGGTGTTTTGCTGTTGCTCGGCTTGACCCACATCCAGATTTAGTGCATGTTTGGGGGTTGTATGTATATATAGTTGTATGTATATTATATAGTTGTATATATATATATATCAATCCATGGGTATTTTGTGGAATGCTTCCAAGAGTCACCTTACTCTTTTGGCACAGACCATCTGAATTGAAGTGCTCACCTGACCTCACTCGTCCGAACGACCCTCACGTGGGTCCCGAGGGACCCAGCACGGACGTCCGACCCTCGGTCTCCAGGTGCCTACGCCTTGGCCTTGCTTTTTGTTTGTGGCCTCCGCGGAAGCCTTGGCTTCGAAGGAAGAGCAGCTGCAAGCGATGGCCCTTTTCCCGCATGGAGAGGGGGCAACACGGTGTCCGGAGGATGGCAGGCGGTGGTGGGGGAACACCGGTGGGCATCCATGTTGTGTTCGAATGGGTTCTTTGGAGCTTTATTTAGCAAGCTGGGTCAGTCACAACCTTCAGAAGGCCGGCTTGCGCAAAGTGCACTCCGCATGCGCTTGAGTTTGCTTCGCTGCCAGCGGTTTTGCTCGGAGCTTCATCTTCAAATCTGCCTATAGCCCCGCAAGCTGAGGTGGAAATCACCAAAGGCTTATGTGATGAGTTCAAGGCTTGGATTGGCAAATTGGGCTGAACATGTTTTGCTAAGACCCAGAAGAAGGTTCTAGAAGAAGGTCCCATGTGGCACGTTTTCTTTGAGACGGGCTTGACATCTGGCTTGTGGGGCCAAAATCAGCTCCAGTTGCACTGTGTGTTTGTTTTTCCCGCACAGAAATCATAAGATGTGCGGTCCAGAAAAAACTGAGATGTTCAGAAGATCCTGCACAGCTGGTGAACATCGTAAGAAGCCGAACCCCATAGATGCTGAATCCACCGGGGAGAATCGGTCGGAGTAAAAGCATGTAGAAGTAGTTATGTTTTAAAGTCAAGGATGTGTTATACAATATTTATATTAATATAGAATTACATCATGTTTTCTGTTGGATTTGCCAAAGCTCAGGAAGGAAGCTCACCAGTTCCATGTGTCCAAAGAAGGTCTCTTGATGGACTACGCCACAGCCTATATATGTGGTTTCTGATGGAGTCCATGTCAGACAGATGGATACCAGGAATCCGCAAGGAATATGCTCATCCCATAATGAACAAATCCTCCCAAGTGCATCACAGATGATAAAGCCAAACGTGCTGGTGCTGATGATATGCTACATATCACTGAGCAGAACCATATCACTGAGCACCTTTGTTTAAAGTCGGTCAGAGTTGATCCAGTTGCATTGAAAGGGAACTCTCCACTCAATGCAGTTGAATCAGTTGAGATCAGTTCTACCAGAGTCACTCACCAGTTGAGAAGGCAGAATCAGTTGAAGTCTCTCACCAGTTGAGATCAGATCCCAACCTCGACTCGAGCATCGGTCCGTCTTTGTCACCGGTCGAGGCCAACGCGGCGGACAAGACGGTCCCATCGCCCAGTGACAATTCGGGTGAACGGGGTGTGGGAGTGAGCTCCCGAAGGAAGAGAAGATCGATATCACATCACGTGACTTTCACGTGACGTTTCACGATCATGACAGTTTACTTGTGAATAAAAGAAAACAGCAACGTTTTATTCAGCTGAGTTTCTATGTCGTGCAGCTGTGATCTCTCCTTTCGACGCCCAGGTGCAGTACGTCTCTGAGAACCACGCTCTGGGCATTGATGATGCGCGTGGCTTGGACTTGCTGGGCCGACGCATGCCGCAGCGAGCAAGAACGATGTGGGGTCGACCCCATGTGGCCTCAATCGGTTGTGGAGACCCACAGCTCCGAGGAATTCAGTAATTGTATGTAAGTGTAATATTTATATATATATATATTACTATATTTATCAATATATCTATCTATATATAGGAGTATCATTAACAGCCCCTTCGAGGTTAAGGGATGTCCATCACGTACCCCTTATGGGTCCGGATTTGGTAGAACTGGGCAGTTCCAGTGATCTGAGGGCCGGGTAAGGAGATCGTCGAACTGACACTGGGAGAGTGCCAGCCAATGTCAACAAACATGTGCTTGGAACAGGTCGGAACCTCCCACGCAGAGTTCGCAGTGACTTTTTGTTTTTAATGATTTTGAAAGAATATTGAAACGGTACGGTCCTGGGACTCGTACTGCGGACTGGAGCAACATTTTGTACCTTGCTCGAATGTTCTGACGTGTAAGAACATGGACCTCCTGACACCGGTTTGTCAAGGACATTGTCACTTTGTTTTACGTCTATCCATCCAATCGATCCCATCCTTGTTCCACAAGTTAAGGCGCCAGAGGGAGGCAGATGTGAACTTCAGAGGCTTACAGGCAACCTCAAAGAAGTGTTGGATCCAGTCACATGCTTTGTCTCTCCCCCTCCCTACGGATCCAAGTACCTTCTCAGAAGGTCCTCCTGGCACCTACATAACAGTGTCGAACACATCACCTTAGGGCCAAAGGGTATGTTGAACCCTAGGGCCAAACTCCCCCCAAAAGTTCCTTTCCCTCTAAAGCATGGCTCACTTCCACTCCCCTCACCACCGGTCTGAGGTGAATGGCTGGACGGCACCGAGTGGGCCTGCAGTTTGGAGGTCTCTCAACAGACCTTCGTGAAAACCCAAGAGGCGCTCATCACCATCGGACAGCTCCAGGAGGCGCGTGGGAACGGTGTCGAGAGATGGACGGTGGGTAGGTGAGATGGACGGAAGTGATCCAAGAGAGCAGACAAGACAAGTGACAAGAAGCTGCAAAGCATACGTTGTACCACCAGGATCAGAGAATACGTTGTATAAGTCGTTGTATATAGTTATAATGTAATGTATGAAAATATGACACCAGTCTTGGCCACTACCATCACCACCACTACCTCCAGAGAGTTTGCTGCAAAACGACCAGCCGAGTGTGTTGCGGTCCCGAACTTGGGCGGTTCATGGCGGTTCTTTCTTGAGTGTTTAGCCTCCCTTTGACAGATGATTTGGGAGTGGTTGACGAACTTGGCGAAGAACCTGGCAACCAGAAGATGAAAAGAACTTCAACCCTGATGGCTACCACCAAGGCAAAGGCAAACACTGGTTTTACATGTGTTTACTATGTTGGACGCAACGGATTGTGCAACATATGTTTGACAATGCGAAATGATTACAAGGGAAACAGTTGTCCAATGGGTCATTTTCCTCCATTGCCATGTTCAATGAAAGTGTATTTCTGAAAGTCCATCGAATCCGACCAGAAAGGTTTGTGGTTTAAGACCAACAATAGGCCGGAACGCTTGACTAAAGAATGGTTATCATCCCTGGAACTAACATAGAAGTGGAAAACCCCCTGTTTGTAGCAGAAAATTGTCATTCCAGACGCCATTTCCACTTCCATATGTGTTCCAGGAGTGTATCACAATGTGGGAGTTCAGTTCTTAAAAATATGGATCCAGGTTCAACCTCACAGGGGACTTAACCTATTTGAACCCCAAAAAGGGACTTGGGCCGCTGTTTGCCATTGGTGCCTTTTATGATGCACATCAGCAAACCACGAAGCTGGGGACTGATGCAAAATCCATCTCCAGGACAGATTTTGAGGGAGTAAGCTGCCAGCCACGAACTTGCTGCGGGCCAGCCCTACTGTTTCAGCCCGTGGTCACCAAAATAGAGTTGAAGAATTCTTGAAGAATTCTACGGATTGAACTGAGTCTGAGTGTTCCAAGCTTTTTCACATGGTGTCAAAGGTTGACATTGTCAGCACAAGATGCACTAGAACAACCTGGGAAACTACCTGAAGCCTGATGTCATGGATGTACAAGATGCCCGCGAAATTCTTGAGGCATTCCTTGCAAGTGTTTGAAGCATACCTTCCCGTCGTACCTCACCAGGCAGTGCCTCACCAGCAGCTACATGCGCCCATTTGCCGCGTCGTGTGAGACGGCCGGTCATCCATGCGAGGGAAAAGGCGGCTGAGAGGTCCGCAGGTCTGAAAGTGAAGGACCAACAAGTACACATGCGTGTTTGTGGTATATGGTATACGGATGTATACGGCATACATGACCCCAGGGTTACACGTACCAAGTCACGTACCGTTATGCTTTATGTTGAAAGCGAGAAGCTAGAGTGTCTTTGAACCAGGTGTGTTGCATATCACCCCCAACTAGAAGCATGGCTTGACTGTGGGTCAATACCTAAACATCCACAACTCGTGTGCGGTTCCTCCCGGCCCTTCGCGCAAGACATTCGAAGTTGAAGAGGCATTCACCTCCACTGGTAAAAATGGTGTGTGTTTCCCATATGATCCTTATTTGGGTGGTTTGGTCCCCAATGCTATATTTATGGACCGGATATTTATGGAAATAACATGAATTATATATCATATGACATCAGAGTGTACATAATTGTACATATGTCTTATGTCTATGCAATCACATTGTATTAATCGTATAGTATACTAGTATGACTATATATAGTTAATTCTCCCAGCTTGAGTGGGTATGGCAGGCTTTACGCCTGCTCGGTTCCAACCCGCCAGGTGACCGAAGGATCCACCGGAGCTGGCCAAGCGATCCAACGAACTCACCGAGTGACTGGGCGAGTGACTGCTGACCACACCCGGGTTCACTGACCCCCTGCTGATCCCCCTTTGTTGGACGTCGAAGGTGAAGTCCTTCGAAAGTGAAGTCCTTCGCTTCATCCTCCGGTTCTTCTCGCTTCTTCTCCGTTTTCTTCATCCGGCTGGGTCACGGTCTGGTCCTGCCTTCGGTCGAGGTCCGTTGGCACGAAGGAGTGGAAGCCTATGAGGTCGGACGTCCGGTGGGGCCGATGGGGTGGTCGTGGGTGGTGGAATGCCTCCTGGCCCGCATCCGAAGGTAGGGCAGGTAGGAAACAGACCTCACTGGCACCCACCATCACCCACCCCAAGCACCTGAGGGTGTGGTTGGAGCCCTATGGGGCATTAAACGTTTCTGTCATGAAGCAATGGAGATGAGATGACGCCACTTGAAGAAAATGACTTTTCCTTGCCTGAGAACTCACTGTAATTAGTTGACAAGGGAACATCCCCCCTTGTGCGTGGTATGCGGCAATGCTGCTGCCCTTGTGACAGCTCGTCGCTTCAACATGCTTCAATGGACCCTCCACTAGCTCACCATCCGTGGTCTCCTATGTGTGTGTTCCAAGGGAGAAAACGAATTCAACGAGTGACCGTCACCTGCCGGAACGGCCGTCGAAGACAGCCGTTCCGACCGCCATTCCGACCGCGTGGCCGGTCGTGGGAGGCGATTCCGACCGCGTGGCCGGTCGTGGGAGGCGGTGCTGGAGGTGGGTGGCCGGCGGGTCCTCGGTGGCTACTTCAAGCCGTGCGGGCATCAGAGGAGGAACGGAGGAGGTACGGGATGCCACGGGCGCCTTCAGATCATGAAGGTGGAACGGTGACAAACCCACAACAAACATCCCTCCAGACTTTGCACGAGCATGGTGTTGGTTTACGTAAATATGTTCATGATGCTTCATGTCGTAGTTGATGGCTGTGACCCAGCGGACGATGTCCTCCATGTTCCGAGCGTGACATTCACAGAGATCTGGAGACATCTGACCGACGGAGGTCCGTAAGTGAATGCTCGAGCTGAGCTACGAGCTACGAGCTACGAGCTGCTCTAGAGTACCAAGTTGAGAAAGCTTTGCTTTTTTGGGGGGGGAGACGAACATGCTCTGGTTTAGTCTGGAGTTGACGGAAGCATCTGATCCTGTTTTTGGATGTAATTGGTGACTCAAGGGTGGACTTTGGGGAGTTGGTCGATTTCGGCGGTAGATAAGACGGTTTGTCAATTTTTCAGGACTCGCTCTTCATGTTCCTTCCCGATGACTGCTGGTTGTTCTGATTACTTCCCAGGCTTGGAGAAGGTCTTGCAGCGAAGGAAGAAGCGCAAAAGAATGTCCGGAGACTGAGCTGTTTGCTGTTGGAAGCTGCAGCGCGTGCAGCCCAAGGCCATGGCCTAGGCATATCTAGGCATGGCGAAACTGTACTGAATATCTAGTCGATACTTCATTTGGGGGCAACTATGCACATTGACATCTATATTGATTTTTATTGTAATCATTTACTGCAGGTATTGTTTGCCGTTCCAGGCGAGGTCTCCTCTGTTTTGCTGATCAGGCTCACAGATCATCGGCTGTGGACTTTGTTTTTGTTTGAACTTCCTTTGACCTCCCTTCAGTGGACCCGATTGGGGTACACAACTGATTCTCCATCGGAGTTCGGGTGCCTCTCATGTACATCTCGCCATCGAACAGCGGATGGGGTGAATGAGGCGGAAAAATGCCTTTCGGCTCGGGCCTGAGAGCATGGAGGGATGAGGGATGTCTGATTAAACTTTAGCCTCGCAGTAGTTGCTTTTGATCACTGTTCAGGAGGGGATAGGTGATTCACTGATCTTGAATGCGATTCTGTCACTGATCCTAACCATTCCTGTTGTTTTTTGCATCCATTGCCCTCACCCTTACTTCATTAAGTAGGCGGGTACTAAAAACAAACTACTAGGTACCCTGCTACCAGATTGGAGCTGGATAACTCACGCTATATAGATAAAAGAAAGAATTAAAAAAAACTGTGTTTACTTTGCACGAGGTGTTTTGTCACCGATCCTAACCATTTCTAGCCTATCATAATGGACTCAGTAGCGATACATGGAGATAGATTCCATGTCCGGCAAGCGGAATTCATCACCTCTTCAGAAAATCATGGTTCGCAGCTGGAGGCACTGAAACGCACGGAGGAGATGATTAATTCCTCGAGCGGGAGTTGGCTTCAGAGGATGATTTTTTCGCAACTCTTGGTAGCAGATCGGTCGGATGAAGAGATCGTGCAGCACCCTCCCAAGGCTTTGGAGACCAAATATGGCCTTCGAGCCTCGTCGAATGAGAGCAGCGCGATGGAGCAGCGCGATGGTTGAAAAGCTGAAAGAACCAGCACTGTGGTGAAGGAGCAAACCAATGGACGGGGGACATCAGTTACACAATCTGAAAAAAGGGGTTAAACCCTGTCAAAATTGGGGATACAGGACAATGATGGCTTGACCGTTGGCAGCAGTCTTACATTCTACTAAATTCTCAAATTTCAAGAAAATGAAGAGAGAATCATCGGATGATTTTGGACATCAACATCGACTTGACTTGTTTTTTTTGGAGTTCTCGCTGACCAAGAAAACCTCTCTCAAAGATGCGTTACTCCTTGACATAGAAGATGTCCCATGATGTCCGGGACGCGAGTTGATCTCCGCGGGTGACATCACCCGGTATGACTCGCGAGGAACCTTGAAAAAGATATAACATATTGAAAACTCATTGACCATGCCTGGTAGTGGTGAAATGCATGGCCTTTTGCCACGTTTGCCTGCAAGCCAAAGCCTCCGGACGCCGGTTGCGCCGGGACTCGCCTCGCCACGCCGGAGCACACCGGACTCGCCACGCCATGGCGGGGCTGGGCATTCCGGTGAAGCTGCTTCATGAGGCCCAACCACCCCATATCGGTCTGAGGTCTTTCCATGTTTCAAGGGAGGCTCCAGAGGGAGGGTTTTTAGTTATATAGATTCTAATAAAACTAAATTCTACTTTAAATCTATGTATATGTATTTCTTGTTTCTAATAGCTTCCTGTTCCTAGTAGTAAGGACAGGAGGCTACTAGTAGCGTCCTTGCTCCTAGCAGCGATGCCGTTTGTTCCTAGTAGCTTCTTTGCTCGGCAGCGGTGTGGGGGGCTCGTTAGAAACAGGTGGGATTGATTCGTTGAAAGAAGACGCATCCGGCGTTGTCAGGAAGCATCGTGCATAAAGACGCGCCCAGTTGAATATTTGTCCTTTTGTTTGTGTACGTGTGTGGTAGATCATGGTGAATGATGGTGGATGATGGTGGATGGGATGCCAATTCTGAACATAGTGGACTCGAACTGCTGGATTGACAGATTGTCCTACAGGTGCTGGAAAGAGGGCCTGGAGGGCTTTGCTGGGTGGCGGGTTGGTTGGGTTTTTGAGAAACGCGTAGTTTTGCAATTTCTTGGATGACCGTGCTGCACAGGATGATCAGGTTGGAAGATGTGCTCGTCCAACGCAGAGCTATGGTTTACCCATTACTATAATGTCGGCCAGTTGTTTCTGCATCGAAGAACCATCAAATGTGCACTAATTACTCTACATAGTACTGTACATCTATAATGATACGTATATCATATATTATAAAGTACTAGTTATACTCTCTATATTATATATACACCCGGATTGCGTCAAAGACGAGGTCAGTGGACAGACTTGCTGTGCTAGACCAGCACCTGTCACCCCCCTTTTCGTTCTTCACCGTGCTTCTTCACCCAAGACCGCGCTCAGGGCATCGGCCACACGGTGACGTGTGAGCTGAAGACGGGGGAGATGTACCGAGGCCACTTGATGAACTGCGAGGCGAGGTGAACCGGAGTGAGGTGAAGCGGAGTGAAACGCAGTGAGGTGAAGCGGTCTCCGGGGTGACGCGGTCACGACGTTTCGGAAGCCGTGACCGGAGCTGATGAGTGGACATGTGTTCGCCATGCGGATGAGTGAAAACGGAAGAATGAATGAACTGTTCCGAGGGGAGGAGGGGATTTCTATGGCATGGCTTCTGGATGTGTTCTTTCCAATTTGACATTTGGGGCTGCGGTGAATGTCATGCCTGTCCTGGATATCCAGAACACCCCTAATTAACCTGTTGAAATACTTTGCCTCCTGGCTGCAGGATCCCTGAGTGGTGGCTTTTCGAGCTGAAAAACGGGATTATGGCCCAACCCTGAACTTTAAAGAACATTGTAAAAACAGTTAAAAACATACCAAGCTGTTCATGGCACCGATTCAATAATAGAATGCCTGCCTTTTGTGAGGGGGGAGTCCAAAAGACCTCGCCGTGTACCCAGGACAACATGAACGCGATGCTGGAAGGTGTCACTGTCACCGGGAGAGATGGCAAGGCAGATGTGACAGCGAATGTCCGTGCGAACGGGTGAGGTGGGCGAGGTGGCCGAACTTCACTTCACTGACGACACGATGTGTTGCTTGTTCGGCAGAGTTGGATAAGGTTGATTGTTTGTCGGATGGTTGGATATCCCAACTGGTTCACCATCCATGAGGTGCCATGGGCACAGCTCAATTGGTTTGCTCACTCTTGCTGAAGCCCCAGCCAGAATCTGGGAGCCAGTCCAATTGTTGGTGCACGCCGATTCTTGTTCTGGTCTTTGAAAGATTCAACGCTGGATGCTCGACATTTGAGGGTTTTCCGACATCAATCGTCGTGAGGTCTTCGTTCTTCCCCGAGCCCCCTCCAAAAAACATGGTGCACACACACACACACTCTCTCTCTCTCTCTTCAATCGCGCCAAGCATCAGAGGTGACAAATCTGGAGCAAGTCTACCTCCGCGGGTCTCAGATCCGCTACTTCATCCTCCCCGACATGCCGGGGGATCTCAGTTCGAAATGCTGGTCGCTCTGGGAGCTGGGAGGGGTCAATGAGAACCACACGTCACCACCACCACCACCACCACCACTGCTGTCGTCGTCGTCGTCATCATCATCATCATCAGCATCATCATCAGCAGCAGCAGCATCCCGAACAAAAGGCTGCGTTGTTCCAGCCATCACGGGGTCAAGGAAAGGCATGTGGCATGGTGATCAAGGCGCAGAACTTTAAATCGGTTCGGCTGAGAGACAAGGCAGAATACCACGTTGGAACAAGTGTGGCCGCAGTACCGAACTGGTGAGAAGTTCTTTGCAAATCTGTCGAAAAATACATGCAGAAGTGGAGCCAGAGCCATACATGAGTTTCCGGATAAGGGAAGACCAGTCACGATTGCTAGTTTGTTGTGTTTCTGCGGTGTGGTGGAGGCTCCGGCACGCTCCAATGTTCAAGAAGAAGACCAGAATGGCGCTTTTTTCAGACGGCGGACGTCGGGTGGTGATCGAAGCGGAGACCCCGCATGGCAGTTGATGGGTTAACTTGAGAACTCTAAATTGTATGTGTCCTTTGGTTTGGGATGCCTGGGGTGTGTGATTTGCGCACGAAAAAACTGCACATCATACATCCTCCAGAGGCAGTTGACAGACTTTGGATCGGCGATCAAGCTGGGTCTAGTGGTTAGAAGCTCAATCAAGCACTCCGGTACGTCAAGCCGGTTCTACTATCTTCACCGATCGAAAACCTTTCATACAGAACTCCAGCCGACCAGTCCACCGGGTCGGCGTGTTCGCCGACCGGAAACACTCCAAGGAGCCCGTGGTCGGCCGGATGCCGCCGTGGCCGAAACAAGGATTCGTGTTCGGCCCCTCTTTTTGGACAAAATAGTTCGGAGTCAGAAGCTCGTGGAACCCAATTACAGAAGCTGCACATGCTAGCATTTGGCAGAGGTGCTTTCTGAAACCACGGAAACCTCCCGATCCCTTTGCTCGTCCAGGGCCGTGGCGCGGGGCGTGGTGTCTACGGCCCCGGCGGGAAGGGCCGTGGCAAAGGCGGGCTGTGCGAGCGTCAGGTCGCCGGTGAGGTCAGGTCTCCAAGGAGGAAAAGAGGGGTCCGAATCATGAATAAGATGGCGGGGATGCAGGGCTCAATCTGCTGGTATTCTTGCTCATTCAACGGATAGGTTTGGCATGGTTTGGCTTGAACATGGAACATGGAACACCACCACTT